GGTCGTGCCCGGTGCAAGCGGTCGTGTGTCCGGACCAGGGACTCCGGTTGATGCAGCCTGCGCAACAAAGGAACGGACCGGTAACCGGACGGTCACCGGAAACGTTTAAATAATCTGCCACTAGAAAACGTTGCACCTTGCTTGCAAAACACCTGGCAAACTACTGGACCTCTTTGAAGGAGATCGTACTCAAATCTCTGAGTAAAGCCTTGTTGACTTGAGCCGACTGGTAGATGATCATGATGTCGTCAAATGGTGCCCCGTTGACATGGCAGGAATCCAGTTTCCTTGCGTTTGGACTCTGCACTTGTTGGAATTCTCTTACTGTACCTTTGATGTTCTTTCATTTGCGCTTGTGCTGGTGTGCACAGCTGATAGCACTCACTAAACATGTTCAGAAATGAGTACAGTCCTGAGAAGGTTTCAGAATCTCATGTTTGCTCTCAAAGCATCTAGGACAACTCCATAGGAGAACAAGAAAGAACAATATACAAAACCGCGAGAGCACAAAATTATACAAACTTGGCTGTTCGAACAACCTGCTGTTTGGTACAACTCTGAGCTATGTCAGAACGTGTGCCACGAACAGCCATCGGTGTTCAGAAGGTCTGAGAGACTTTGGAAACGAAAGCACATCAAAAGCAGCTTGTACAAGACTTCGGAAACCTCAGTTGAAGACTCAAGACAAAGATTAGCCCCCAACCTACTTTTCAGGATCTTCATGGGTGTGGCCTACGACCCAACCGTGGTTTGACCACCCTGCGATCTCAAAGCAGGGCAATCCTCCCAAAAGCACTTCCACATCTCTTCCGCCCTTCATCGGTGCCATGGAGCCTGACAGAATGGAAGGGACGGGTGTCGAGGGACAGAGAGTCCTCGGCTGATGTTCTGAAGGAACGATCTTCGGCGTCCTTCCATCGACATGTCCAGGACACCAAGCCTCCCGGCTGTGCCTGGCAGAGCCTCGCGATGGCCTTGCACAACGGATTTGGGCACCAAGACCTTGACAAGGCTTCGAAGGGGAGCTGTTGGAACTGGAGCGCGAGCTGCGGAGGTTGTTGGTGCACAGCTACCAAGCACTCTCTCCAAAGGAACTGAGGTTTGTTGCGGAAGCAAAGCTGCAAAGTGAGCTTTCCTTCTTTAAGCGCGCTGGATATTTAGAGGTCGAGGAGACACTGCAACACTGGAAATGGTATTTGTACTGTTTGACATTTAACAGCCACTCATTCGCTGAGAACAGCCTTAAAGGCTGGAGTGTAGTCCCAAGGACACCGCTCAAAGGCGCTTTTGTAGTTCGAATGCCGTTGGACTCGGTGGATTTGGCCATTTTTGCCCAGCTTCTTGATGTGCAGATTCTCCTTTTCCAGCTCTTTCAGCCCGCACTTCGCTTTGGAGCCGGAGAGGCTTTACACTTGCTCACTCTCATGGAGGCTTGTGGGCACTACTTCTATCCTCCAAGCAATGGCTACAAGAAAAATCGGACTTGTGTGGCAGTGTCGTTGAGATCGACCGCCTCAGGGGCCCTTTGGCACATTTGGCAGGGAAGAGCGCTTGCATTCTCAGCTATGATGTGGAGAACGACTGTTATATAGCTGCGAGATGCAATACGCGGTTCCCGTTAAAGAGTGTCCAGATAAGTCGCATCCTTGCACGACCTGAGGACGAGGACTCTGTCACTCACGGACGCTGCGTATCCCGCATGCGAGGGACGGCTTTTCGTGGCATTCCCGACTCCTCCATAGACTTTCAAATCTTGTCGTATCTCATCCGCCTGGATGTGGGACAGAGATTGGACGACTTGCATGAAGAGCTGGCAGGTCGATGCCGGCGTCCGGTGTCGGACTACTTCACTCCAAATAAACATGTGCCATCTGAGCATCCCAACGAGCTCTGTACGTCCACATTGCCTTTGCAACAGGTTCTTGAGATGCTCTCTGAAGGTACAAAGGTTTGGACGAAGTGCCTTGCTGCCGTTGGCCCCAAGCGAGACAAGGCAGCCGAATTCTTGACCTGCCGGATCCAGGATTTCATTTGCTTGGAGAAAGCTTTGGATGAAGATCCTTTGGCTTTCTTGGCTCATACTGCTTCAGACCCACAAGCCAAGCAAATCTCGATGGATATTGTGTGCTCCTGGCTGGTGCTTGAAGACTATCCACACCAAGCGCATCCCAGATCCCATGAGCTCCTGGAGCGAAGGTGATGCGGTCCTCGTGTCGGAGCGGCGGACGGCCAAGTGGCACGGCTGGGCCCGAGGACGACGGCTGCAGACGACCGAGGAATCGCGGAAGAATGCGGAGACCGGCCTCTTTCCGATGGCAGTTCTGAGACCTTGCGTTTGGATTGCAAAGATTGAGAGGAAAAAGGAGAAGTGAGAGAAGGTGCCGTCTCCCTGCCAAACCAGTCCGATTGAACAATGTACACGAGACACCAAGACACAAACGTTGCTTGCTTTGGAGATCCAGGTTCGAGCAGTTTGGACCGGCTCGTGTAAGTCTCAGCGTCTGCTGCAAATATCGATCAGTATCTCAATCATTGCTTCAACATGCTTCAACACTTGTCCCGATGTTTACAAGCATATCACTTGAGGTTCCTGCATCGCTCCTAGAGGAAGACAAGTCTATCTCATACGAGCGAGGCCATGTCGCGGAGAGTGTCGGCACTTGTGTCAGTTGAAAGTGAAGCTACTAGTAGCAAGGGCATCGCTACTAGCAACAAGGGCATTACTGCTAGTACCTAGAAGCTACTAGTACCAAGTAAGCATGCTTGACAAAGTATGCAGTCAAAGGACAAAGGTGAGCGCTTCAGACTCCACATATTCAGACCTCCCTAAGATTCCGCTGGCCCAGTCACCTCTGTATTTTGGACTTCCCTTGTGGTGGAGCCAAGCTGCAAGGCCATGCTGCTGCAGACGCTTCACACGAAGCAGGCAAGTTTGTGGACACACGGATGCGCATGGCATGAGCTTCTTCTTGATGTTGTTTGCTTTGTTTCCCCGCAAATGACTGTAATTGGTTTGGGATCGTGGTGGAGCCTCCAGAAACACCATTTGGTGGGGCTGTTTGTTAGTTGATGGAAAGCACAGGACCTTGAAAGCCAGCATCCAATTTTCAGCTTCTAATCATTCCAATCGTTTCACCAGTGCCAGGCAGATGCACATTGCCTGGCTTAACTGAACGAGCGTCCCGAGAGGAGGGCTTCGAGTGAAACCGTTGACTGCCATGGCTGGAAAGCGGTGCTTAGTTCAACCCTTGGAGGAGTTGGATGCCAATCATCCAAGCTTCGTCCGTCGGAGATCCATTTGAGAGGAGTCGCAGACTAGAATTTGGGGTGCTCATGAGCATCCTAGCGATTAGATGATGTTAGATTTGAGATAAAGTTAGATGAATGATGAAGAGTTGCAGAGTCTTTGAAGAGTGGCTGAAACCAGGGCCGCTCACGCTGAAGTCTCCAGTCTGCATGCGTGGATCGTAGCGAGCAAAATACAGACCTGCAATTATCTGCAATTTGGTATTCCGGTGGTTGTTCTAACAGTTTATCATAGTCTATCAAGCTGAGTAAAGGACTTTGCGGTCGTGAACTCAACCGGCAATTCCATGTGATGCCCTCTCTCTCTCTGTCGCGCCGTCCGTGTGTGTGTGTGTGTGCGTCTCGTACGTGGATGACTTTTTTCTCAAGTGGATCGGGCCGAACATATTTTGGGTCAGAGGCGCCACAGAGGCGCCACTCGTTTCGAGTGCTTCGTCTTTGGTCGTCAAAGCGACCAACTCACTGCGACCAACTCTCTTCCCAGGCGAACAGGCTGGGAAGCTGCACAGGCGAAGCTGAGACCTCCTGAGGGAAGGACAGAGAACTGAAGTGGTTCGTGGCTTAAACGCAGAAGCATGGTGAGACAAGATGCTGGCAGAGATGGGTTTTGTATGGCTTTGTGGGGGTTGGCGGGTTTGGGAGGGCTAGGCCCTGAAATGTTGCTGCATGATGTGACGGTGTATGACGGTGTAAAGCATGACTAAAACATAGGCAACATCGGTGTGTGGTGAGTATGGGGCTTTGCATCAACTGCAGGATGGTCTTGGTTTCCAAGGACCCTTATTTAGTGGGACCCCTTTTTTAAGGAGTCTGATATCTAAAAATTTAAGGAGTCTAGACTCGTTAATTTAAGGTGTTTTTTAAAGGTGTCTAGAAAGACTACCAAAAGGAAAGGAAAAGGAAAAGGACAATGAAAAGGAAAGGAAAAGGAAAATGAAAAGGAAAGCGAGAACTTGGAAGCTGTGTGATCACATGCTGTGGTCAAAGCCAAAACCATATGGCCACTAGACTGTTCCGATTGCACTTGGCTTTGATTTCTGGGATCAGACAAGCTTGAGATCGTTTCAGGTCTGGGGAGGATGGTCCAGTCCTCAGAAGAAGACTGGAAAAAACACCCATTGTGGGAAGACCCGTGTGGGTAGGCCTCTATACCGTATACGGTATCCGAGCACCTTGTGCACCTTGCGCCAAAGTTAACAAGTCTATGCAGACGACCGAGGAATCGCGGAAGAAGGCGGAAGGCCTCTTTCCGCGGGCAGTTCTGAGACCTCGTCTTTGGATTGCAAAGATTGAGAGGAAAAAGGAGAAGTGAGAGAATGAAATCGCATCTTTGTGACGCGTGTGTTGATTCGCCAACTCCTGCATTCCTGCATGAGTCCTACTTGAGAATTTAATTTTCCATGGTGTGTAGAACTGCCCTTAAATTTGTCGTTTGCAAGCAGTCATTGTGTGTTTGCTCAAGGTTTGTTAACAATGTGGATTACAATGGATTACATATACCTTTCCACTGCATGCTGCATTGCTGCATGCTGATTTCCTGTTCTTTTGTTGCGTGCATTTTTTTGAGATCAAATCCAACCAAGTTCTGGAACAGGTTAGGGAGTTCTGTGGGTTTCCCCGACATTGAATACTAAGGAATACTAAGACGCCATGCTGAAACCCGGTTTGGAGGCACCAAATTGAATTTCTCAGCCATGGGCACCACATCGAGCGGCTTCGAGGCTTTGCAGGAGCTCCTTTTCTTTTTCTTCGGGTCTACTGAGTCTACTGGTTCCGTGGCCCGGCCTTTTCTGGTTGGGCAATGTTAGGCATATGAATAGTTCCACAGGCCATTCCACGGGCCATTCGGTGAGTGAGATCGTAGCATGAAATGTTGCACGGGTTGATGCATTGTTTTGGTCTTTGAGGAACCCTTCGATGCCATCGACTTTCAGAAGGTCAAAAGTGTTTTGAAACGCTCCAGGTGTGTTGCCCAACACGTGTTTGGGACGAGGTTGTGAATACGTGGTTGGCACCAATGCACCTGCAGTGCAGCAACCCTCTTCAAGTAGGCCTGATCGAGTGAAGTTTGCTTTGCCCTAAAGACGGCGGTCTTTCGTGAAAAATGAATCGCAAGTGGAGGTTGGTACAACAAGGCTAGATCTGAGACTGCAGATGGTACACAGACGATTGATGCGAGCATGCCTCAGACGACGTGTCGAACAAAACGTGTCGATGGCACGTGCGTCGTTTTTTTGTGCTTCTGTTTGTTGATGTGAGACTGAGAGACGTATCGGCTGGGCAGAGGCCAGATGATGCGGTGGCGTTTGCTATTTATTCTGTGCCTCACTTAATTTCAACATTTAGATACATGCATCTATATAGATATTCTGATATGCACACTATCAGAGAGGTCCTTGTCATTAGTAGATTTTTTGATTATTTGTTAGGAATTCGAGACAACTCACACCATTAGACCTTAGCAGATAGCAGAGTAAAAAAAAACAAGAGAAGGCCACAGCAAGAGAATGGCCTCAGCCATCCAAGGTGCCGAGATACTTGGAGGTTGTGCACACCTGAGTGACGTGCATGCCGTGACGGCTGATACGACATGTGTGACGTGACGGAGCCACTCTGAGTTGCCAGGTTCTGGAGCACTACGCGCGAGAGAAACCAGCCAAGGATTTCTCACTGACTGAAGATAGAGGGACCAAACAAACAGATCATAGCACTTGTAGGAAGAGTAGATGGTTGACCATCAAGAACCACTAATCAGGAGGTTCCTCTTCTCCAAACCTACATAGTACAAATGCAGTCACTGGGTCTCTGTTCCCGCGTGGGCTCTTGGAACTCCACGGAGGATCTCGTGGATGGTGCCACGAACAGCATTCTCGATGCTCTTCGTGGAACCCTCGGGGTGTGTTCTTCTTCGAAAGACTCTCAGATCGACGTGGGGCGCGTTTTTCGTTTTGACTGCATGAGGCCTTCGAATTCCCAGTGCGCTTGATGCGCAGGTCATCAATACAGATAAAGGACTTTCGTGCCACGAAGGTTGAGAGCTACGCTACTGTATGGAAAACAGTTTATTCATTTGTCGTGTTCACAAGTTTCTTAGATGGATCATTTGTGCTTACGGTGTACGTTTCATCTACGGCTCGCTTGTGAGGACCACCCTATTTCCATGTGCAAACGATTGGTGCGGTTTGTGCCGAAGATCAACACGTTGAAGCCGAGGCCCGGGCCGGCGCCCGGGCGGCGGCTGGGCGAGTGCGGCCGCCATCGCCCGCAGGATGTGACGGGCGATGGAAGTGATGAGTGGCGAGAGGATTTGTCAGATCGTTTGGAGGCCGGAAATCGATGAAAAGAATTGGCAACCTGTGAATAGAGTCATGGACGAGACAGGGAGATATAGAAAGAGAGAGAGAGAGAGAGTATGTGCACTGCTGTGCGGAGAGTCTGTACCCAGATCGGGTGGATGGGTCAATCACAGTTTGTGTACTGCAACGGAGGTGGAAGTCAAGTGCAAAGTGTTGAAGTGCTACAGCGTGAGACGTGTTTGCCAATGGCAGGAGGTGCGCGACCCAAAAATGTGGGGAACCGAATCAGAAATGCGGAGGAGTCTTGGCAAGATTGAATGGGGTTCCCATTTCAGTTGTTCTTATTGATGCCTGCTTGTATCTTGAAGCTTGAATTGATTTTCCTTGCTTTTGAACGCTTTTGATCATTGTTGTTTTGTTGCTTCCGCTGCTCAGACATCCAAGGAAGATATTTGCGGTGAATGTTCACCCTGCATTGAACTTAGCTGGCATCAGCAAGAACTTGGAAGCTGTGTGATCACATGCTGTGATCAAAGCCAAAACCATATGGCCACTAGACTGTTCCGATTGCACTTGGCTTTGATTTCTGGGATCAGACAAGCTTGAGATCGTTTCAGGTCTGGGGAGGATGGTCCAGTCCTCAGAAGAAGACCGGAAAAATACACCCATTGTGGGAAGACCCGTGTGGGTAGACCTCTATACCGTATACGGTATCCGAGCACCTTGTGCACCTTGCGCCAAAGTTAAAAAGTCTATGGTCAGCACATAGGCTGCACGTTTTACCATGTTTCACATAGAGATCAATCAAACATCAACCAATGACACGTTTTCACACAGCCTGAGTGCTTCAGGTCCAGATTCTGGCCCGGATAGTTTGTGCACCGAGGTATGCTTACCGCGCTTTGGTAGTTCTTCGGAATGGGAGACAGGCAGCGTTGGCAGAATCTGCCAACAAAATCACGCTGCGCTGGCTATACCTGTTGTCGACTCAGGCGCTGGAACAGCAAAAGCCCTTGGACTTTCTCAGCAATGAGGTCAGCAAAAGCCCCCTTGGGGCCCCATCGATGCTGTTTCCTGACTTTGAATGACAGAAGAGTCTGTCATCGCTGATGCAGGAAAAGAAGAAGAGTCTGTCGGAGTACAACCTCAGGTCCCAAAGCTGAAACGCGTATCTTGCTGAAGTCTGTATCCTGCTGAAGCCTGTTAGGAGCCGTGGGTAAACAAGCCAATCACTATTTTTGAGAAAGGCCTGAAAACCTCACCGTAATCATCCACTGATACTGGAAATGATATAATGTAATATATTTTTATTATCGACCATATACTGGGTCAATCTATATTATTAATATTATTCTGGTATATATAATAGGGTATAATAGTCCAAGGAAGTCTTAGGTCAATCTTGGTCTCGAACACATGGGAGGCATCAACTCTGCCTGTGGCGAGACCTATCCGAGACCCATCCTCCAGACAGGAGATATAGCACGCAACTCAGTGGAGTAGTCTTCAAGGAGTTTATTCAAACGGATCTGCGTAGACACTCGTGTGCACACCCAGTGTTTGCCTTCTATATGGACTTCAACAAAAACAACAGACGGTGTTTGCTGAAGGATTGGCACTTTGGGGTATCTTGAATCCTCTTGGTACAGACTTCAATTTGCTGTGTGTCGTTTCTTTCCTGTCTCATTGGCCAACCTAGGTCCAGATGAATTCTTCTTTTTTACAGAGACATCTCCAGAAAAGCGAAGGCCAAGTGCAGTTTTGTAATCTAAATGTTTGCTTTCACTACTAGCTGCTCGCTTTAGGTATAAGTTTGGCTGGAGCCATCATGATGTCTATTGAAAGAGGTTTCAGTACAGGCAATGGCAGGAAAACAAGTTTCAATTGGATAATGGCATCAACATGCCAACAACCATGTTCTTATAATCACGTTGTCATCGATTCCACATGTGTTCAGTCCATTAGTCATTGCATTGTGTTTTTGAATGAACCTCTTGGATTGTGAATGACAAGCACACTTTCAATCAGTGCAGTGTGTGTTTCTCCTGCGAGGCGTTTCCTTGATATGAAGGTGTCGTACATGACCGCACGAACCACAGCCTCTTTTTTGGTGGATGTCAACCATGTCCCCTTCAAAAAGCCTGGTATTTTCCAACTGGATATCACAACTGATATTTTCATGTACAACTGCCTTACCCGAAACAATTGAGTTTTGGTACAACTGGCGCCCGTTGATCCGAACATGTGATCCTCCATCACCGCAGCTGTCCGACCAAGCACCGGCTGCCTTAGGCCATACCCGCGCGCAGGACTCAGATCCACCGGGGCTCGAGCCGCCCGGTCTGTGGCATCGGACGTGGCCCCTAAGGCCACGATGGAGCTAGCTCAGTTTTCGGTCAAAATGGCTGTGAGCTCCAAGAATCTTTACCATGACTGCCTGAACTTCCACTTGTAGCATGACTTGATGAAGAAGCATTATTGATGTATTACTATGCAGGCAGCAAAAACCGTTTCAGTTTGAGTGAGATTCATGGTGTCATTCATTGTGGTCTTGGCTCCTTTTTTCCGTTCAAGTCTTCCTGGCTGCGACTAACAAGTTGTCCACAGTTTGGGTCTCAGGCTGCGAACCAAAAAGGCGAACAAAGAGAGCCGAAAGCTCCTGCAGAGGGCCCTGCATACTGCACCGAGCCGAGGCCCAAACAGGCGCCATGGCCGAGGAGGAAGGGTTCATGGCTCGGAGAGGTCTTCTTTGCAGCTGCTGCATGCTGACTCATGCTGATTCATGATGATTCATGGTGCTGAGTCCCTGAGGCAAGAGGTCATCTTCACTGAAAACACTGCGACCTCTCCTCAGAATGGCCAACATACATTCTTGTTGACAAGATCATATTGTAGAGCTCATCTTTTTGCCGGGATGTGTTTCTAAAGCCTGAACATCGTTGTTTGTAATTTGTGGACCTTCTTCTTTGCTTACAAAAATATCCCCGAGTCTACAGGACGAAACAATGGCTGAGCGATGCAAGCGTCCGAGTCATTGTCTCACAATGAAGAAACACGGGGATATTTTTGTAAATGTGTTCCTGGGTCAACACATATGAAGACTATAGTGACTAGTGTGACAATAACACATATGAATGGAAACAGGACGGCACCCCGCAAAAACCTTCAATAAACCAGTAACAAAAAATAGCAAACCGATGCAGATCAACCATGGTTTGCGTGTTGGCTTTTGAACTCTTTGTCCTGTTGGGACTCTCCACGTTGTGGTGTTGCGGACTTAGCAGTCTGCGCAGACTGGCAGACTTAGCAGCCCATGGGCACAGAGATGAGAACAGATAGAAAATGACTTCAAAGAAACCATTGACAAAATAGCAAACCCCAAAATGGCTTGCATTTTGACGTTTTGTCCCCTTTGTTGCAATCATTGTGCAGTATTCCCGTTGGGCCCCTCCATTTTGTAGTTTGTGTTGTGGAAGATCTTTGCATTTGGCAGACTTTGACAGCCCACAATAGGGATAACATCTGTGTAGACTCTCTGTGTAGACTAGTGTGACGGGAAAAGATATGGGAACCACCAAACACATCCAAACCCCAAAATGGCTTGGGCTTTCACGTGTTGACCCCGTTGTTGCAATCATTGTGCAGTATTCCCGTTGGATTCCTGTCCACTTTGCAGTTGTGCGTTTTTCAGAGTCCTTGTCATTTGCAGATTTTAGCCAGACACCTATGACTAGTGTGACAGGAACGGATGCAGAACATGTTTGACCTTTGCGAAATGATGACGGTTAAGCCCATCCACTTCCACTCATTTTATGATCATTCTTTGCACATAGAGTTCCCCATGTGTAGTCATGTTTGTTTCACAATTGCTGAAGAAATAACCATGGAACCTCATTTTGTAGCAGTGTCTAACTTGGAGTGGAGAGGGGAAGCACCCTTTATTTCCCAAAGACGTGATTCTGTTGCCACTATTAGGGACCCACACATGTTGTAGACTGACCTTCTTTTTTGAACAAATGTAGGTCCGAACGATCAGCCCGTGAATTCTTTTAGGGATTAAACATACAAGACAAGCTATGATGTCGCTTTCCTTGGATGAAACTGGGCACTGAGGCCAGACAGAGAGATTTGGGATGAGAAGGGTGGCTTGATCAAGAAAGGCCGTTCCTTTCAAACGCAAGCACCTGCAGCCATTGAAAGCCAAGTTGGACTACATCATGAATGATTTACTTTGTGGCGAGGTGCCGCTGAAATTGCTGAACGTGATCAAGATCATGTGCCAGAGGTGAAGGCACAGTCGCAGCTTGCAGAGCTGTTGTTGCTGCGCACGGATGTGTGCCATGACTTCATCGATCAGGTTTTGACGACGCTAGGCCAGGTTTTTTAATAACTTTGAGCTTCGTAGGTAGTTCCGTGGACAAAGTTTTATAGCTATCGTGGCCGCAGGCATGTTCGCGGTGCCCGTGACAGCTGAGTGAAGCGCTAATCATTGCATTGCAAATACCTTGTATCCCAATAGCAGCTGTCCCTGATGGTAGTGCCACTGTCAATTTTTGCGAAGTGCTTCGCTTGGCTGAGGACCACCGTCGGAGAGATCCGCCAAAAAGTACAGGAATGGAAGCCGGAGTGATCCCAGCATGTTAGCTGCAAATTCTTGAGATGACCGTCTTACTCGGTGTTTTGATACACAGGTACTCCTTGGAGCAGATCGAGTTGGTTTGCAAAGACAAAGATGATCGGTGCTTAAAAGTCTTGTTATTGCCAACTGGGACTCCTTGCTGAGATAAGCGTGTTGAAGGCGAAGGGAAGCTGCCTGCATGTATCAAAAGTCAAGTAAAAATGCTTGTGTGTGTGCTCTTTTGCAGCTTGACATTGAGGCCTGGGGCCCTCTTTTCAACAAGACTTCTCGCCCCAGGCACCTGTACATTTCGCAGAATACTACTGGATGCATACCTTTGATGATTTGTTGATATGTTTGGTGTTTGCTTACGCCCTCGTCATAGATCCAAACATCCAAACATGAGTTTTGTTTAATGATGTTTATTGTTTTGTTCGTTTCAGTGCTTTGAACTTAGAGACAAACCAAGCTTTGCGCTTTCGCCTCACTTTGCCGTGTTTTTTGCGAGGGACGACGATGAGACGGTGTGGCACTGGGCATGCTGATGTTTTGCATGCATGAAGTTTCTTACTCCCTATAGATGCATCATCTATTCAAAAATGTTGCCATACGCTGCGCATACGCTGCCCACATTTGCCATTGAGGTTGAGTCCCTGTGGAGTGACTGGGACATTCCCCGTCGTATGATGCAGGCACTCGTCGTATTCCTCGTCTCTTGGTGTTGCCTTTTTTCCATCCCATGAGACGAGGTGGCGCTTTGGATCAAAGAGAAGAACGAGGAGACGGGCGAGCACGGCCCTCAAGTACCAGTGGGTGTTCAGCCGTTGTACTCCGTTGCACCTGTCCACGGCTGTTTTCGAGTGCATGTTGAGCAGAAGCAAAAGGTTTAGTCGTAGTTTACCCTCAATCTTTGGCTAATTCAGCAAAGACTGAATCACTTTCTAGTTGACAAGTCGTTGTGCCAGTTGTGCCTTTGAGTGTTGTTCTGCCCATGTTCAGAAAGGACCTCCCAAGCATAAGATTCACAAGAGTCTTTTCATTCAAGGTGGGAGAGTACCTTTTGGAAGATGCTTGAGGAGAGCAAATGCACTTGGCCGAGTTCAACTAGAAGCCAAACAAAAACATTACACTTGAAGAATGTTTTGAACCGGAGATAGCTCACAGGTGATGATTGGAGCTTTCAAGGCAGCAAACACATCAAGTGAGAAACATCAACTTGCGAGCCAGACCTTTCTTCAGATTAGTTTGCTGTTGAATGACACTGCCTACTAAGCTCTTGCCCTTCAAATGTGCAGGTCACACTATTTGAGAAGATTTGCTCAGCGCTTTGAAGCAGTCCTGTCTCCTGGACCCACTCAGGCCTTCTGCAGGGTAAAGTCGGGTTGGGCGGAGCGCATCGACGCGAACGCAGAACGATGTCATCAAGTTCTATCATGAAACTCCATCTTGTGACCTCACAATCCGAAAGTTGTCCACTATTCTCGACTATGACTTCGAAAACATCATAGCATACAGTGGTTCAGAGAAAGAGGGCTTGTTTCAAAAAAGCATACTAGTTCACCCAGTTCAGTCGCTTTGGACCCCGCAAATCATGACAGTGGAGCCAACAACATTGGCTCAGACTGCTGCGTTCTGGAGGCGAGACGGCAGAAGAACAGTCGGCATTGGTAGAGGCCAAAGGCAAAAAGAAGATAAAAGAAGCACATCCTGCTTGGAAGACATGCATGGAGTTGCTTCAAAGATTTTAGCAGCATGCAGTCCAGGGTAGTCGGTTGCTTCAATGATGGTTCGATCCGTGCAATTTCATCCGAAAAGATAATGATACTTCTCCATCAGACATATAAGAAGTTCGATGCGGGCTGGTCCTCTTCCCTGTGCAACGATTGCAATTTGTGAGTCATTCGACTCCTTGGGCTCAAGTCTTCCGTTTCGTAGAAGTTCTGGGAAGCTGCTTTCTCCAGTCTCAGTCCAAGTTGATGTCGAAGTCAAGGGGGTAAACTCGACGTGTGCTGCTAGGCTGATGTGAGAGCTGATGTGAGAGCTGTTTCTTCCTGCCCAGGCTCTTAGACGCGATGGCCGAGGAGGAAGGGTTCATGGCTTGGATAGATCTTAAATGAACGAATGCACTTGCGACATCTCTTGCATGCAGCATTCATCAGACTCGTGGTGCTCAGGCAAGAGGTCATCTTCACGGAAAACACTGCGACCTCTTCTCGGAAATTGCAATTTGTTTACAAGACAAGCGATGATGTCGCTTTCCTTGGATGAAATTGGTCACTGAGGCCAGACAGAGAGATTTGGGATGAGAAGGGTGGCTTGATCAAGAAAGGCCGTTCCTTTCAAACGCGAGCACCTGCAGCCATTGAAAGCCAAGTTGGACTACATCATGAATGATTTACTTTGTGGCGAGGTGCCGCTGAAATTGCTGAACGTGATCAAGATCATGTGCCAGAGGTGAAGGCACAGTCGCAGCTTGCAGAGCTGTTGTTGCTGCGCACGGATGTGTGCCATGACTTCATCGATCAGGTTTTGACGACGCTAGGCCAGGTCTTTTAATAACTTTGAGCTTCGTAGGTAGTTCAGTGGACAAAGTTTTATAGCTATCGTGGCCGCAGGCATGTTCGCGGTGCCCGTGACAGCTGAGTGAAGCGCTAATCATTGCATTGCAAATACCTTGTATCCCAATTGCAGCGCTGTCCCTGATGGTAGTGCCACTGTCAATATTTACGAAGTCTTTTGCTTGGCTGAGGACCACCGTTGGAGAGATCCGCCAAAAAGTACAGGAATGGAAACCGGAGTGATCCCAGCATGTTAGTTGCAAATTCTTGAGATGACCGTCTTACTCGGTGTTTTGATACGCGCTTGTTCACACAGGTACTCCTTGGAGCAGATCGAGTTGGTCTGCAAAGACAAAGATGATCGGTGCTTAAAAGTCTTGTTATTGCCAACTGGGACTCCTTGCTGAGATAAACGTGTTGAAGGCGAAGGGAAGCTGCCTGCATGTATCAAAAGTCAAGTAAAAATGCTTGTGTGTGCTCTTTTGCAGCTTGACATTGAGGCCTGGGGCCCTCTTTTCAACAAGACTTCTCGCCCCAGGCACCTGTACATTTCGCAGAATACTACTGGATGCATACCTTTGATGATTTGTTGATATGTTTGGTGTTTGCTTACGCCCTCGTCATAGATCCAAACATGAGTTTTGTTTAATGATGTTTATTGTTTTGTTCGTTTCAGTGCTTTGAACTTAGAGACAAACCAAGCTTTGCGCTTTCGCCTCACTTTGCCATGTTTTTTGCGAGGGACGACGATGAGACGGTGTGGCACTGAAGTGTCGGCTCCACTTGAAGATACTTGAAATGATAGTCAAGTAATCTAGAGGAACTACATGACACTTTGGCCCAGTGTTTCTGGGCAAGCTAGAGAGGTGTTCGTAACCAGAGCCACAAGGAACGACTACTGTTACACCAAAAAAAGGAGCGCATGGTCTACCAGCCGTCCCTTTTTTGGGGGATGGAATGCTTTGTAACCAAAAAAACATAATAAAGATAAGATGCTGCACTTGCATAAGTTGCTTTCCATTTGATAGAAGGCAAGACCTTTGGCCAACTCAAAAGACTGTAAGGTAAACCGTTATCGCCGAACGTTTACCACGGCAGAACTATTGTTTGATTAAGACTGCTCCTCCTCATATTTTGGCAAACTCGGTGAAACGTGCTGTCACATGGTTGCTATGGACTTGTGGCATTGAGGTCGAATCACTGTGGAGTGACTGGGACATTCCCCGTCGTATGATGCAGGCGGAGAGCGTTTTTCTTACATCTCAGACCTTGAACTTCCAAAAATCGAGGTTGCTCTTTGGATCAAAGAGAAAAACGAGGAGACGGGTGAGCATGGCCCTCAAGTACATGTCGACCTTTCATCTGGTGAGGAAGGGGAGAAGATCTCCCTTTAACAGTCTATCTCCATCCAAGGTGGGAGAGTACCTTTTGGAAGATGCTTGAGGAGAGCAAATGTCGTTCACCGAGCATTTTCTTCGGTTCGCAACGAGCGTTCACCGCGCCACGTGTCGACGTAGTGTTTCACGTCGCATGACTCAGGTGATGATTGGAGCTTTCAAGGCCGGAGGTCCAGACTATGAAGCGTAGCAACTGCCAAAACCCCGATGAAGGCAGCATCGCTACAGAGAAGACTAACTAAGTAAGTAAAAGTGAAGGAAACCTTCAGGAACGATAAGGTTCACAAAAAAAGCGATAAGGTTGGGAAGAGTGCGCACTACAACACATAAAGAGGTTTTGCACGTAGCTCATATGAGGTTCAACAATTGGGCTGAGGTCACACCATTTGAGGACTCTGACTGGACAGAGGTGCAGAAGGCACGTGTTGCCAAGAGTTGTTTCGATAGTGAACAGATTTTGCTGCAACCAGTACAAATGGCGTGCCTGCTAAGGGGCGGTTTCAGGGTGGAATGTTTCAGGTTGAATTAAGGTGATGCAAGCTGGACCGTCATCGAAGAGCAAATCAGATACAGACCTAGCGTTTCTGGTCAGGCAATCTGAGACCTGGCCAGGGATGTACCTGCGCTTGGCTCGGAAGAAAAGATGTCTCGCCACTCTGAACTTGAGTTTCAAGCACTTTTTCCGCAACACAGAATGCACAGTTTTTTGTAGGCTCACCTTTCTTTCACGCTACCGCTGGTCTTTGGGAACCGATACTGGGGCTCATTCACCAACGGTCAGAAACCACCCTTGCACCTTCAGTACATCAGCACATAGATTTTGCACATATGCTGCACTGCAGTAACCATAGTGCACCACTTTATCGACCTCACCACTAAGCAAGACACAGAACTGACCGCTCCACCACCAGTGCAAGCCTATTAGGTTAGAACCTACCACTTCACCGGCCCTACCACTCGACAAGATGCAAAACGTTACCAAAAACACCACCGAAAGTCCTGAGATAATAGGACGAGGGTGCCACTTTATCAGCGGTAAGACCCTGCGTGCCACGTACGCCGTATTGACGGTTTTGGTTTCCCTTCATGCAAAAGGAGTCAGTGAAGGCCATGGAAGATTTTGTAAACTGCTTGGTAAATGCTGTCTTTGTGCGTCGGTGTAATGCAAAGAAGAGAGTGTGATGAAGTCCGTGGTTGTGCATTTCAGAGAATAGCATTTACTAGATGATACTAAGCCGAGAGGCACCATGATCGCCAGAAAGCCCCTAGAACTTGTGATACTTGTGATACTTTACTTTGGTATGCCAAGTGGAATGGACAAACTCAGTGTTAGTGCAGTAGTTGTGTGTGTGTGTGTGTTGTGTGTGTGATTTGCACCTCTTGTTTCCGGAAGGGTTCAAGTCTGAGACTATCAATGAAGACATAACAATTCATATGTTTATGTTTCATATCACGTTGTGGATGTCTACGGCACTTCCTTTCCTTGGACTATCGGCAAACGACCCTACAAAGAACAAAATCAGAGATACCGAAGACCTGTCCCAGCAACGAAGCGATTAAATCCTTTTGAAAGGATAAAACACGTGAGCAATGGCGCATGTCGAACCGGCCGCTCTGACGGCCAGAAGGAGAGGGGGTTTGTTTCGTTTGGAGCGAGGGTTTCAAGTTCAATTGGATTCCTGGCAGCCCTTGTTTTGTCTGCTAGGCGATCATGGCGATCACCTCACCAATTGTTTTTCCTTGTGATTGGCGCATTCCTCCTTAGCCGAAGAGGGGTGTTGGCGCCTGTGCTGTCTGTTGGACAAGAATCACAGCTCTTGCAAGAGGTAGAGCAGAAGGTGAAAGGGAGCAAGGTGTTTTTGGTGTCCAAAGCCTATTGCCCTTTCTGTCAGAAAGCTAAAGAAGTTCTCAGCAGCCTTGGGGTTGCATTCGACTTGCTGGAACTGGTGGATGTGAACAAGCAACCTTTGGTGGATGATCCTGAAGCTGTCCTCGACTACATGCAAAGGATCACAGGGGCTCGCACGGTTCCACGTTTGTTCATTGCCGGGAAGTTCATTGGTGGCTGTGACCATCCCTCAGTTGAAACAGAAACGGATCTACTGCTGGATTCCACACACTTGTTCAAGGAAACGCTGGATTCGGAGACTGAAGAACGGATGGTTTTGTCAAACGTGAATAATGTGTTGCTTACTGAAGATGCAGAGACTTTAGTTTGCAAGAGGACCTATTTATCAATCGCCGAAGTTGATAATCCAGCTCTGTGACTTCTGAGGATGATATGATCCACATGGCCCAGTCCGGCGAACTTCAGAAAAGATTGAAAGACGCTGGAGCCATTTGAGGCATCATGTGCAAAACGGCGTGCGAATGGGATGTGCATAGTGCGATATAGATGTTGATCAGTTGCGTTGGGCCACACGGATCGTAGCAGAGGAGCCGATGTTGGCTCAGACTGGACCACAAGTTCTTGAGGCGAGTTGACATTTTTAGAGGCCAAAGGCACAAAGAAGCACCTCCGGCTTGGAATACATGCATGGGGTTGTTCGACAAAGATGTCAGCACCATTCAGAGCGCAGATGGCCTTGAATTGATCAGTCGAAAAACATCATTGATCAGCATCCAAAGAATGGACACTTCTACATTGACACAGGCATTCCCTGCAGGCTGATCCTCTCCCCTTTGACCACTGATGCGCTTTGGGCTCAAGTCGTGTTCCGGTAGAGGTTCTGAAGAGCTTTCTCCAGTCTCCGCCTGAGATCCAAACACTTGTTTTGCTTTGACTGGTAGGGTGTCTGTTTTCTTCCCTACGACGACTTCGGGCGACCAAGTCATGCACTGTCATGCACTCCGCTCCGAGCGTCGCAACCCCAGGGCGACCCCAGAGCCGGGGAGGCACGGAGAGCCGAGGACGCCCCTTCCGGCAAGCTGTTTGTCAGGCAAGCTCTTGGTCAACGTTTTTGTGTGAAATGATATCAATGTGAGTCAACTCGTTTTGCAAACGCAGGCGGTCCAGTGAGTTGGCACTGGCTATGATAGATGAGTTGGCCTTTTCTATGAACGCTGTTCCGGAAGGCCTTGCTAAGTAGGAAGATTGACTGAAAGGAAAAAGCCAAGCCGAAGTGTACGATCCGAGAATTCAACCCCTAGCTGTGTCGCGCGTGCAGCTTGAGCCAGTGCTTGAGCCATATTGCTTGGCAGGCTGGCGACCGTGGTTTCTTGTCCCTGAAGCCGCTGACTGCGCTGCATAGTATAAGGCGAAACCCTGAAAGCTTATTTTAAAGCGGCCAGGATAGATAGGATAGTTGCCGGTTGGTGGGTCCTTGTTATTGTGCGCGAAGCACTAAATTTATCAGATGCGATTGTGAAAGAGTATGATGAGTATGCTGCAATTTGCCACTAGGACTTGAAAGATATCCATGCACCTCCGCTTATACAATGGTTCAATGATGTTTGACCAATTGTTTTCACCTTTCAAAGGAGACTCTATGGCTGCTGGCTATATGGAGGCTCCAGCTCACGAGTCTCCCATTGACCATATCGGCTTTGACATAGAGGTGGGAGATGCATTGAGATGCATTTGATGAGGATGGCTGGGTGTTCTCAAAATTTCTTGGTGAATAGTCCAGCAGAAACTGGAAACCTGAAACTGAAGCAGTTACACACGTCAGAGACGACGTGTGCAACTGGACTTTGACCAAATATCCAGAGGTAAGGATTGAAGCATTCCATCCATTGGACACGATTACGCTTCTTGTTGTTGCAGCATTCAGCTGAGCCCTACTTGTGTTTCCGTGTTCGTTGATTTTGCGTGGCTATTTGTGCGTTTCTGAAGAAATCTAGCATGACCGGTTTTGGATTCTCCAGGGACCATCGCTGCCGTGTATATAGGTGCTGAGCTCAACGCAGGTGTGCTGAGAGTGTTTTTTTCTTTATCAGCTTCAATTGCCGTCACTTTGGAACACGTTCTTGTTTTTTAAGCCTTGGCACGTTATTGGTTAAAAGCCTTGGGAATGCCCATGACTCAAACCATCTGAAGGGGAATGGAACGCCTGCGAGAGGCCTGGAGAGGCAATGAAGGATCCATTGCGGCTGTGAACTGTTGAGTTAGCGTGCTTAGTGCTTGGCGGTATGATCCTGCTGCCACCTACCAGTCTCAGCAAATGCTCAATGGATCGAAGGAATGCCATGTCTTGAAAACATAGCCTCCAAGGAGTCCTCCAAGGCTCTCAAATTGGTTGGTGGTTCTTGACTTTGTGGAAAAGCAGGTGGAACATGTGTGTGTGTGTGTGTGTCACCCCCTGGGCAAAGGGTTCGCCACCACCACCACCTTCACCACAGGTTCACACGCAGGGGGCACGGAAACTAATTTCCCATCCGTGCCAACGAAGCTACGGAAATCAGTTGGAAGAGAGCTGGGACGCCGGCTCTTGTACCTGCAATGAAACTGTTGCACACGCTGTCCACTCCTTTGGTTTGTTTCATGGCGGTTCATGATACGCCCCACAAACCACTTTCCTTCCGCCTTGCAGCTGCTGAACGCCGATTTCACTTGAGCGCTTTCGGAAACATTGTTCAACAATACTTTTCAACGGACTTTGCCACCTTGCTGTTCCATCACCTTCCTTCCCAACGTGGGAACTGAGTGTAACTGAATACAATTGTCAGAGTGTGTATCGCTCAGCCGTCCCACTCGGGTGCTGAGTGTGATCCCCGTCACTGGGGCGCTGTCTCTTTGGGAAATCACTGGAACTTCACTGGACTTCACCTCCACTTCCACCGAATTAACTGCCTCAACGGCCGCCGGGCCTAAACACGGGAACTATCAGTTCGCAGCGTTTGCACTATTTTCTGCATGGTTTTGCATGTTTTTTGCCAATGTCTCCTCAAGCAGTGAGATTTGAGTCTTCTAAGCAGTTTAATTCGACTTGCATGGAAAGGAAAAAGCGCCGATTACGGCGACCTGTGTGTGTCACCCCCTGGGCAAAGGGTTCGCCACCACCACCACCTTCACCACAGGTTCACACGCAGGGGGCACGGAAACTGATTTCCCATCCGTGCCAACGAAGCTACGGAAATCAGTTGGAAGAGAGCTGGGACGCCGGCTCTTGTACCTGCAATGAAACTGTTGCACACGCTGTCCACTCCTTTGGTTTGTTTCATGGCGGTTCATGATACGCCCCGCAAACCACTTTCCTTCCGCCTTGCAGCTGCTGAACGCCGATTTCACTTGAGCGCTTTCGGAAACATTGTTCAACAATACTTTTCGACGGACTTTGCCACCTTGCTGTTCCATCACCTTCCTTCCCAACGTGGGAACTGAGTGTAACTGAATACAATTGTCAGAGTGTGTCAAACCCTGTCCCTAAGGGCTTTCCATGTTTTCAAAGCAGGGCGTACGGCTCGTCGTACCCACCGTACGCAATGAAGCTACGGTATGACGAGGGAGGGGTGGACTGATCATCCACCTGTACCTGCTTCAACGGTTGAGTAGGCTGTTCCAATCCTTCTTTTTTGATTCCATGGTGGTTCATGATACGTCCCCCAAACCCTTTTTCCCCCAGCCGCGTTGCAGCCGCGCTTGTGTGTCAGGTTGCAAACAGTTCTCGCCGACCTTTTCGCCTTACCGTTCCCTCACCATTTTTCCTGGGAATTGAGTTAACAGAAAACCAATGTCAGGGTGTGTCTGTTTTGGGGTCAGTTTCTTCAAGCAAAGCTGTTTTGAGATCAATCAAGCAGTTCCAGACAAAGTCACTTGTTTCAGATCTGCAGGAACATTTTTTGCTCAACAGAGTCAGACTTCAAGCAGGGCACGGTGACAGCACCTCAGAGCCAAATGGACAGCAGCAGACAGCAGCACGGGCACATGCAACGCGTGTTGTGGGACTTTCGACCTTTGGCCAATGCTGAGGTCAGTGCCACGACATGTCTTACAACAACTAGATGGACTTCCGCCTGTGCGATGTGTGTGTGTCAGCCCCTGTCTCTAAGGGACCTGCTCTTGCTACTTAACTATTCTCCTCCACTTGGACCAACCATTTGTACAGTCAATCAGCAGGGGGCATCGGGGGTGCTGATGAGACCGGTGCTATCAAAGACGCTCATCAGTCACCTGTGATACAGTTGGAGACGTCCAACTGCGTACCTGCTTTTAACTCCTTTGTAAAGTGCTAATGCGTTTTGTTCAAACATTCAGTGATGCTGACTTTTCACTCTTACGGTTCTGCAAGTCAAGGGCTAAATATTCACTTAAAGTGCTAATGCTCACCGCGAAGAAGCCTGAAGCCAAGCTCCACGGAGCAACCTTCTCAAGTGTGCTTCGCAGCTTCTTCCCACTGTGGTAAGCTGTGTGAACCCTACGGGGCGCCGATACTGCGAGAATCTTCTCACTCCTCACCGCGGGAGTAATTTCTCTGAAGCCTTCTGAAGTTTTTACCCGACTGAATATTCCTGCTCGAATACAGCTTTCAGGATCGTTTCACACCGTTCACGTGAAAGGTACTGCAGAGTTCACTGAAAAACCTCACTGAAGAATACTGCAGAGTTCAATTGAATCATGTCTCACCTGGGAATTATCATGTTTCAATTTTTTCAATTTTTCAACTTTCGAGGTTTGATCATAGTTCATACCTCCACTTTGCAGTCACAAGCCAGACTTTCAAGATCTCCGCAGTCGTATATACCTATTTATTCGACTTGACTTGATTTGCAGAGTTGCCATGACGTATCCTTGGCCTTACAACCTACCACCAAACTTTCAACCACAACCGCAACCAACACAACCTCAATGGTATACCATGCACAGGCTGGATTCATACCCATCACAACCTCAACCACCACAACCCCATCCACCAACAGCGCAAGCACCACCACATCACCCAGCGCCACACAGCATTTCCACCACACACCCCACAACCACAGATTCTTTTTCAACCACACTATATACCGCCTTCACCACATTATCAGCAACACCTTGAGCATCTGTCCACTATTTCCCACCAACTTTATCCAGTACCACATCCGCCCACAGCACAATCACATTTCCACACAGCATCATCCACGCATCATCCACAACAACTACAACAACCACCACAACCACCACAGCAGTCACCTCAGGCAACAATACAGTCAGCGCCACCACCCACTACGGATCAACAACTATCCAACCCCATGACCACCCCCTCACACACCACACCACAGGCAGCATCAGACCCCGCACCAGTGCAAGCAGCAGGGGTACCACCAGATCAACACCACACCAAACATCTCAAGCCACCGCTCCTTCACCACAACAGACATCACAGGCCACCACCACTTCAGAACAAGCCACCCCACCTGTAACCTCAACACCCACTATACAGCCAACGTATCCAACACCACCCATCAAAATCACACGCACAGCTCGACCGACACCATCTATTGCACCTACACTCAGCGCCACCCGAGGAGTCTGGCGAGACCCAGCACGTTCACCACCCCGCACACAAGAGCACCACCGCTATTCAGCATTTCCTGCAGTTCCTACCAGCACAGCATCACAAGCCACTTCCACATCCAGAACAAGATCTCCATTGCCCCGAGCACGATCGCCGTTACCACGCCGGAGACGTTCAACCACACAATCCATTGCCAGTTCACACCCTCCCACCATAGCGCCACACACACAGCAAGATTTGCCACAACCACAGAGCTATCATTCTCAGCAAACCTACACATCACACCACGACACACCACCACAACCTGACCAAACCACACCGTCACAGCAAGTGGCCGATTCACCCCAGCATTCTCAACGCATCACACTCAAACCCAACCCACAGTCCCGTTCCAAGCACACCACTACGTCAAAAGCAGCTTCAGCATCCACACCACCCACCACAAACACCACAGAGGTCCCCGTGCAACGCCGACCTCACAATTTCCCACTACCAAGATTCCAACCACCCACAGATCCAGCACACTTGGAAATCTTCCAATGGATCAACCATCATGCGCGTTCGCTGCACATCTACAATGAACCCATGATCTCATACGTGGCCAAAGTGCTAGCAGCGGCCCATCTCAACAGCACTCACTTCACTGACATGCATCTCCTGACCCACACAAAATGGAACGATGGCACACAGCGCAACGACCACCACACCTTTCTCACGCTTTTCATACCAACACTAGCCAGCAGAGGCGACGCGCCGACTCTTCCTCCGCCACGGAGAGAAGCCTTGAACATCCCCGCGATCAAACACATCTTTGCTGCGCACGTGAGCGAGGAGGGCAACATAATCTCCATCCTTGAGGCCGGAGAGATTGTCCGTTCAGTTTTACATGACGAACACAATGTAGGCTTTTTCAGTCAAGCCTTTGAGCTCACCAACTATGAGGAACATGACATTACCGAGGCAGCAAGGGTTCTTTTCAATGCTGACAATATGTCCAAAAATCGCAGTGGACTCAAACTTACCATCAAAGCATATATGGACATGGCCAAAAGGTTACGCACGGGGGCGAGTCGGCCGCAAACGACTTACTACTTCGAGGCGAGGGAATCGTCAAGTACACCCCCGGCAAGTGTTGGGTGGTCCACCCTAAGCACGCCCGCGTCGAGGGGATAGCATGGAAGAGTGACGCTAAGCCTCCTTCTTCAACAGCGTCCCACAACAACGGCTGGTAGACGCCGTCATCAGTCTTTGCAGCCGCTGGCGATCTCAACACACCACCACCACTCTCACAATAGATGTTCAATCCACCGGCAATCCCATACAACACTCCCACATTGGCAAACACTACATTCACCATCCACAACAACGCACCATCGACACTCAGCACATTCCCCTCATTGTTCAACACGCACTACAATCATGCATCTTCAAAGCCTGCAATTCCTACTACAAGCGAATTCAAGGCGCAGGTATCGGCAGCCAACTATCCCCAGCCCTCTGCAATGTTGCCATCACTCTCATCGAACACACCTGGCGCACCACTTACCACACCTTTCTACAGCAACCCAGCCTTCACCTGTTCAACACCCGTTACGTCGACAATCGCTACATCCTCCTCAACGAGCTTTTCCGACATGCACTCCCTATCACCACACTTGCCCATCCCGATTTTTACGAACATCCAGTGGAAATAGAGCCCGTAGACGACGACCATCTACTTGGCTTCCACATCGATCCGCTCAACAGAACAATCACCTTCCAACTTCCCACCCACCCATGGCAGATTCGAGATCCCCAAATCGGCCGGCAGTCATAGACTGCGCCTCTCCGGCCTATAGACACCACACCTTACGACAATACACCTACCCAACTCACCTCACGCAAACCACATCACAACAGTTGGTGCAGCTTTATATGACAAAAGGTCATTCCAAAGAACATTGCGCTGCAGCGTTGCTGCCTCGCCGAAAAAAGCCAGCTTGCTCGCACAGCCTGCTGCACAATCAACTTTATTGCGACCTGTATTCATTTATTGCTGTCATACTTCAATTCACTCTACACTAGCTGCACCGGTTTTCGGCTTTCTGTGTGTGTCAGCCCCTGTCTCTAAGGGACCTACTCTTGCTACTTAACTATTCTCCTCCACTTGGACCAACCATTTGTACAATCAATCAGCAGGGGGCACCGGGGGTGCTGATGAGACCGGCGCTAACAAAGACGCTCATCAGTCACCTGTGATACAGTTGGAGACGTCCAAGTGCGTACCTGCTTTGAACTCAACTCCTTTGTAAAGTGCTAATGCGTTTTGTTCAAACATTCAGTTACGCTGACTTTTCACTCTCCGCGAAGAAGCCTGAAGCCAAGCTCCACGGAGCAACCTTCTCAAGTGTGAGACTGAGGACTGTAGGTCAACTGGCGCCAGCTTCTTGAGGGCGGCAGTCGACCATGTGGTGAGTGATCCTGATAGCCCTTCGTGTTTGAAGACATTTTTGAATAGCGATTTTGGGGCATTGAGCCTTTGCTCCACCCATTCGCCATGGCCTCTGGGAAGGTAGTCACACGCAGAACGTCGCCCCTCTCAAAGTCTCAGCAGAAGCATTGGGAGCAAGTCTTGTTCACTTATTGTGAGTTTGGGCTTGGACAAGAATACCAAGAACTTGCTGAACCCAGACAAGGCCAATAAGTGTTTCTTCATGTTTGGACATTTGTTGGCTTTTCAGGAGGTTCACAAAGACTTGTAAGTGTGAGTCAATGGATTGGTTATTGCCTTCTTTGCTGGCAACCTCACTTGTGTTTAATTTTTGTTTGGCATGCTTTTTGACCGATGACATTGCTAAATGAAACTTAGGAAGAGAGCAAGCGGCTGATGATGTCTGCTTTGGAAATTTCCGTGAAGAATGCAGCGGCACGCTTGGCACAACAAATGGGAACCATGGGAAGGGCGGGGACTCGGCGCAAGAATGCAAAGGACTCCGTTGGTGACCCGTTGAAGACAGCCTTGAAAGAGACTGGGGCGACAGGTCGCTTGGATGAGGAGATGTTGGACCACATCCGGGAGCGGTTCTTACCGTCTTGGGGTGCGCCAGCATTATTTCAAAATTTGATCCTGGAACATGACGGGGTCAGTGACCAGCTGAGAAGCGATCAAAAGGAGTTCAACATTTGCTCAACAGTAGCATCTGTGCAGAAGCCTAGCCGAAGCAGCTCGTGGGACCACCTGAGAGCCATTTCAATAGGAGATCTTCGACTTTTTCAGACAATGAGCGGCATGCGGCTGGAATGTGCAGTTGTTGGGCATCCCATCCAAATGGTTGGAATCACCACTCTAATTCAAGATGCCGCTGGCCAAGCGGTCCTTTGTGGGATCTACAACCTACCAGGGGTGACAAATCAAGCGACGGCCAACAAAGCCTTGCCCAAAGGATCAACAGTGATCATTGCGGAGCCCTTTCTGAAGATCATGGCTGATGGTAGGCGAGGAGTTCGAGTGGACAATCCAGATGAGATAGATATTTTCTTGCCAGGTGTAAGGCCACTAATTCGCAAAGCGGGCAGCATCTCTGCAAGGGCAAGTGATGGAAACGAAGCGTCCAAGATGTCTCAGGACCAAAAAGGTGAGAATCAAACCCCAATAGCGGAACTGGCCGAAGACTTCAGACCAGGCCAGCGGGTGAAGCTGTTTGGCTTGACCTCTAAGAAAGGTGCGACCTTAAATGGGAAGTTTGGAGTTGTGGCTGCCGAGCAAGATGAACACGATTTGGAAAGAGTCACAGTTGAGCTTGACAGTGATGCTGGAAAACCAGAACTCGTCAAAATCAAGCCGTCGAATATGGAGATCGCCCAGGAGACCGACTTGGAAAACATTCTTCAGGCCAAGAAGGATGCGAATGAAGCATTTGCCAGAGGAGAGCTCCACCAAGCCATTGAAGCCTACAATGGAGTTGCAAAGGAATTGTGCTCCCACAAAACGCCAAAAGCCATGACAGAGCTCACAAAATGCATTTGCGACAGGGCGCTGTGCTTTTTGAAACTGAGACAGTGGGAGGCTGCAAGGGTTGATTCTCAATCAGTCTTGGAGAGAGAGCCCACCAATGCCAAGGCTCACTTTCGACTTGCCTCAGCTTCGTTTCAAGAAGGAAACGCCGAAAGCCAAGAGAAGATCCACGAGGCTGCCACTCACATTTGCGTAGCAATCGCGCTCGCTCCAACAGGTGAGGCTGCAATGACTGATTTGCTGGATGCGATTGCAAGCAAGTCTGCAAGACCTTTGCCGCAAGCGAAGGAAGTTGTTGCAGTTGGTGATGCCAGCGAGCTTTGGGCAGCTTTGCAGCGCGACAGAAAGAAGTTCATTGCCATCAAACCTGGAGACTACGGCCCAACTCACAAGCCATTTTGGGCGGAGCATGATGCGACCCTCGTGGGCTTGGGCTCGAATAAAGTCAGGTTTCTCAAGCGAAGTTCACATGTCTTCTCAGTGGTTATGAATGCCCGAGTTCAGATGTTCAACCTGACGATCACCGATTCACCCCAAGCTTCGCATGGGTATGGGTGTTGCAGTGTGGATTCTGGTGCGTGGCTCAAGCTTTCCGGCTGCATCGTGGAGAATTGCTGCGAAGTTGGTGTGATTGTGGCGCGTGGCGGTCGATGCATCATTGAAGACTGCCAGTTCCGTAGACTGGGTAGTCAAGCCGTGGAGGTAAGGGAGATGGGGCAGGTGGAAATACGACGGTCACAATTCCTCCGAGTATGGCAAGGAGTTGTTGCATACGCAGGTGCTAGGAGCCTTGTCATGGAAGACGTGTTGATTGAAGGCTCTTTCCACGAAGGTGTCTGTGCGTGCGGAGACCTTAAAACGGATGAGACTCGCAAGCTAGAGAAGTTGCCTGACCCCGATGCTGAGCGGATTGCAACGCCAGGCTGGCGGAAGCGAGACCAAGCCTACAAAATGGGCCGACAAATATCCATGTTTGCGTCAGAGTGGGCAGAGGACATGGGTTGGAATGGGCGGTTAGCACTCTCCATGTCAACTTGCACCATCACGAATGCTCAAGGTTTGGCATGCAGCTTCGACACTGGTTGCGCTGCGCATTTGTCAGCGTGTACGTTTCAGAAGTCTGTCTCCAGCAAAACTACTAGGTGGTATGGAACTGGTTTGATGATCAAAGGCGGCTCTGACGTAACAGTGAATCGCTGTCGTTTCCTAAAGAATGAAGTTGGTGTCGATGTGGGGTTCAACTACGGGGGGGATGTATTAATTGAGAACAGTATATTTGCTGGTAACCTCTTCAAAGACGTGATCGAGCTGGGCCAAGAAAGAAAGACGCAAGAGATGTTTGAGGGAAGCTTTTGGAACAGGCACAAACAAGCAGGAGCATGGAGTGCTCCAATCAGGACAGCTAGGAATCAATTTCTTTCCAAATCAGCGCGAGTCCCAGAGATACACGAGTTGGAATCTTCATCATCTTCAAGGTCGCAGGGGCAACCATTGCCACAAAAACTGGCCTGGGAGGCTGCTGCCAGACAAAGCTATGTTTTGGCCACGCCTTGCTTGTGCGGGTTCTTGTGCACCGAGCTTGGCAACAGTCCCGAATGCTCTCAACTTGGACTTGGAAACCACATCGATTTCCCTCCGTTCATGTGCCTGCCGTGTAGCGATGCCTTGAGAATGAAACAGGATGACGTCAACGCGCAGTTTTACTTTCGAGATGAGGAACGCAGAACCCGTTCCAGGCATTGGTGTTTGCTTGGCACAATCACTTCTGTCGGTGTTGCTCGCACCGCAGATGCGCATTCTTTCATGGCATTTAGAGGCGCTGAGGCCGCAAAGAGTGTGAAGCTCAAGACCAAATTTGCAGATTCAGAGCCTGAGGTAGAGGTTTTGATGATGTTGGATGAGCCCCTCTCCCATCAAAGCTCAGCTCTTCAGTCAGGCTGTACCTTGGCGATTTTGTACGCAGAGGCATCCGACATTGACATCAGACAGGGGACTGGTCAGGTGATTGTCACGGACAACTCCTTGGTTTACGCTTTTGCAGCTCCTCTTGACCAGATCATGGCCCAGTCATTCGCAGCTGATGAGTCCATTTGTGGGAGCTGTGGCAGCTAAGCCTCGAATGAACGGTCTACTGTATACGCTGGTTTTCCAATTTTGCTTGACCTCCTATCCAATGTCTTACTTTTTGGAGTTGGAATCATCTATTTCGTTATTAGGATCATCCTGCAGTACAGGCTCCTAGTTGTGGCATTTCCTGCAAAGCTTAGGCAAAGACACCTCAGAGTCCTCCACGCAAAGCTGCAGCGCCTGTGGCGTCGTCTCCTACTGCAGTAGCAAGTGCCGTTCGGACCACAACCAGCGTCACAAGGACTGGGATGCTCCAATCACTCTAATTCATGGCTTCTGTAAAATCCGTTGTGGGTTGGATCATGTTGGATCGTACCTTCCCAAGTGATCGCAATGGAGCTTGAAGCTTATCATTATCTACAAAAAATATCGGGGTACGATGATAGGGTTTGCTGAGTTTTTTTCTGCTGAGCGTGTTCTTCTCCCCACCAAACCTCCAAGATAGTAGCGTGCTGTATTTGCTCAGCAACTGGAGGAAGTAGCCGAAGCATGCTGAAACATGCTGAAAATTGCTGAAACCATTTTAGTTGTGAGGAGCTTTGCCCGCAGATGGCCATGCTTCGTCAGCTGGCAGTGACCGACTTTCGCAGCGACCCTGATGTCCAGCTGAGCTTTCCACTTTGGGCAGAAGGACTCCCAACCATCCCAGCCGTTCCACCGCATGCGCCACATGACGCGAGCCTTTCAGAGCCGGAGGCGCAGGATGAGGCGAAGGAGCCGAGCGCCGAGACGAGCCGAGCGCCAAGTGCGCCAAAGGTCGAGGATTTGTGTTCCTTCTTGGATTCTGCCTCAGATGCTGATATGGCCAAGGCTGTAGCTTCGGTTGAGGAAGCTTTGCAAGCGAAGGATACTGCAGGAGCTTTCGTGATTCAAAAGCAGAATGGGCGACCAAGATTGCAGAACAAGCTGAAACGCACAAAAGCACGGCTGGCAGATCTCTTGGCAAAGAGTGCCGAGCCATCAACCCAACCACAACAAAGGCAGGCGCATCCACCCGAGATATCACAGGAAGAGAGGGAAGATTATGCTGAAGATCAGGGGGCAGAAGGAAGCTTATGTGGTCTTGGCCCCACAGACCAGGACGGCTATCACGGAGTTCCAGAGCTGCCCCGCTGGAAGGCAGGTTTGCCGTACCGCAGGTGTGCGCGCAGGAGTTTCTTCCACGCTTTCGAGTCCTACCCTAGAAGCTTGCCATGCCCATCAGAGCCTTGGTGCACCAACATCAACCCAGCTGCGTTTTGCACCTTGGCTGTAGTGAAGGGTGTGAAGGGTATTGAGCTAGCAAGCACCCCAATCAATGCAACAAGGACAGAGGTCATGCTTTGATCGGCTTCTGGGTGCGTTCTATTATACATGCGACCAGAAGCAAATATAGTCAGTTTCGACTTGTGCGGCCATATCCCTATATATAATATTCCACATTAACACGCGACGGACAGAGCGGCAAAGGTCGTTCTTTGTGAAAGACACGTTACCGCCTCCACATCATTGTTTAAGATGATTAATTTATTCATGTGAGCATCTTGAGTGATCAAATATGCGGGTATATCATCATATACAAGTAGGCTGTTTTAAAACCTTGCGACCAACAATACTTATTCCATCTTATTCCAATCGATCCCCACGAGATGCGATAAACTTTGTGATCTATAGTTGTTGACAGCTAAGGCTTTGATTTCAAGGAGTTGGCTCGCTCTGGCCGTGTGCGCACTCTTAGCTGCTGGGGTCATAGTGCTTCACGTCCAGGCCACAAGATTCCCAGTGTGGCAGGCAGCCATCAGAGGTCTCTTGGAATGATTCGGCGCCTCTTCAAGAAGGGAACTGTGAGATGTAAAAAGGAAACCTTGTTCAGCCATGTCGGACATGGGCCACTTCTGGGTTCTTCTCAAAACTAAAATAACTAAAACTCAACTCTGAGGTTGTGGAAGCTGCGACCAAGTGAGATCACCTTCAGCCAAAATTCCATCGGCCGGAACTTTTCGGATGGCAACTCTTTGGATCAAACCTACGATGATCTTCGCGCTGGGCGTTGCAAGGTGGAGGACATCGAGAAGATCAAGATTACGTGGCACAGCCATGTGAGATCTCCAGGTGAACCACGTTGGTGGACTTATACCGGGAACAGAAGGCTGTCTCTTTTCCAAAAATTGGAAGAGGAGGGACGTCTGAAATTTCTAGTGGCTGAATGGGTCAATGAGCCAGTTCCTGAGTGGCGAATGACCACTGAGAACGGAGGAGGGCGCCCCTCCGTCCGTGGAGGCAGGAAGAGGTGAAAAAGGATCTCGTTGGACCCAAGGGCGTTGAAGAGACTTGCCGCAGGCCTTCAAGCGATTGTGTGAATGGTGAATGGAGTGCTGTTTTTGATAGCGCTTTCATGTAGAAGCCAGCTGTCAAAGGAGCGCGTGAAGCACATCGAAACCATTGCCACTTTGTGCCCGGATCTTGGCTATGACATAATGGCGGAACAGCATCATCATAGCACCGATTTTGTGCACGGCTGGTGTTGTCGGATCTTGATGGAGCAAGACTTGGAGAGTAGAGGGAATGTAAAAGCTACGTTGCAGGCGCATGAGATCCGCGGCATTGCTTACGACTGCCCCAACTGGTCTTCGCTGTCACTTGCGTTCACAGGGCCGAGGCCGGGACGAAGAGCGGCGCGTTTGCAGTTTGCTCGTCACGGACTTCGCCCGATTGGGATGAACATCTGAACAGTGGTTCACGCGACCCAATTAAGCCGTTTCGTGGGCATGAGTGTGCCTTCAAACTCAAAACGAGCAAGTTATTCCAAGTATGAACAATCGAATTAAGTATCGAGTTCTATACAGACGAAGGTGGAATTTGCCGCGGATACGTTTGTGCACAGCCGTTGGTTCTGCGAAAACTCAACGATGCTGCGAAATCAAATTGCATAAGCAAGGGCTCAAATGTCAAGACTGTATAGGGTTGAGCCGAGAACCAAGAGAGCTCGAAACAAATGGGATTCGGAACGTTACAGAGCCATTTTCCTTTGGTGCGCACGAGGTACAGAGGTGCACGGCCCAGCGAATTTCTGGTGAAACAATTGAAGTGGAAAGGGGAAAGAAGTCAGTGGGACACTCAGCAATTTTACCGGGCAATTAGGTTCCGTTGCGGTCTTAGTGCCACAGAGTCATTGCTTGCAATTCGCGCACGCGGTGTCTTCTATAACGGACAAGAGCACGCTAGCGATACTGCAATCTTCTATAGTGGACGCCGGACTTCGTTCGAGTCATGTCGCAGCGTTGGTCAGTTGCAGCAATGCTGTTTGCCTCGTTGGAACTGCTTCAGCCTGCGCAAGGGTTTTTGCTTCAGCTTCTGACGGTTGAATTGTTTCTTTTGTCGCCAAGTGTGTGTCTGTGGATGCCTACGCCTAACTTGGAATCCAATAATTGTGATGTGGAAGGTTATTGACTTGTTTGGTGATGTTTGGTGTTGAATAAATCTACAACAAGCGCGCTCTTTGGTCTTCTGATGGCACCCGCACCATCATCCGAGCTATAGGGCTTCGGAAGGAACCACCACTGTCGTTCTTTGTTCTTTGCCGCGTTTATCGACTTTTTTGGCTAATGAAACCAATGACTTTTTTTATATTGTTTTTGACATTTTGTGTTTTTACTATTTATGTTCATGGTTATAATATTGATTAATATTTTGAATAACTTAATTATATATTAGAAGCAATAAATAATTAATCTTTTTGAATATTAGTATAAACTATATTAATTGTAATAAATATAATATGTTGAATCGGTATTACGACAATATATTTTATTGAATATCTTGTAATATATTATGATTAATATTGAAATTATATGATTTATATTTAAAAAAAATTGGATGAAATTATTGGGGTAATTTTATATATTTATTTGTATTTGATTGTTTTGTTTTTGGTTTAAAGAATGGTGGATATGGTTTTTGAATAATATCTTGTATTTTTGTTTTTGGAATGAATGATCGATAATTTTGTTTAAATAATTATATAATAATTTATATTTAAATTGAAAGGTTTTTTATTAGGAATGGATATAAAAATTTGGTAAAATATTAATATTTAATCGGAAATAATATAATTGTTATTAATATTTTAATAACAATAGTTAAGGTGGATTTTTTGGTTTTTAAGGTTATTAGGTTTTTTATGATAAAAACGGTTGCGCGATGTAATTATGGGAAATTTTATGGAAATATGTAAATATTCTTCGTTTTTTATTAAAGATATTTTTAGTTATTAATATTGTATGAAATTGTTACGGGTATTTTCGGATGATTCGTTTTTTCGTATATAAAAAATCTTAATAATTCTGGTATATTTTAAGCTTAAGGCTTTATTTATTGTAGGTGATAAATTGATTTATTAGATTTTTTTAAAAACTAAAATTATATTAATTTAATTATTCCGGAAGGTATGATTAATAACATTTTTATTATAATGTAATTAATAATTTTCTATGTTTAATTATTTAGGTTTTAGACTTTATGAATCGTAGGCTTTAAAGACATTTTTTTTGCAAAGGTTAAAATGGCTATAGGAACTAATAATTTTATTTAAATCCCTTTTTGAATTTTTATTTTTACAAGTTTAAATCCCGTTTTCGGAGCGTTTGGAAGTAAAATATGTATTGGTCGTATCTTTTTTTTTCGCTGTTAGTCGAGTAAGGCAATGGCGACGGGACGTTTCGGTGATAGATTTTGCCCTATCCTCTGCATTAAATAGGTTCGTACCTTGGAAATCTACTTTGTTTATTGTAGTAAGTATACCTATGATATGGTGGAGAGCTCCTTAAGATCGAAGTCTGGGGTGATTGGCAGGATTTAAATAGATAGTAACTTTGGCCGAATTTGGTAATGAAGATTTCCACAGTATTTTGAAACCTTCTCGGGGCCGCTTTCGGTGTTGCTGGTGGAGGATTATGATTTGGCTCCTAGCTTTTATCTAGCTTGATGTCGCGGTAGTCCCTCTCCGTGGGATAGTGAAGGGTCTTTTTTTCTTTAATTTCCATAACCTCGGGACTATTAGGTTTAATTTCTGTTAGGACCTCTTATTTAGGCTCCTCTTGAATTCCAATTAGATTGGGATTGGTGTTGGACGAGATGGTATCGATGCAGGCCCTGAACCTATCAAAGGCTGTTCTAATCTAGCCATGATTCTTTTTTCTGGATTTAACGAAGACATCCATTTGATGAGTTACTCACGGTTTTGGATGCTAAATTGGCTTCTTTCTTTTTGGGTTATTGGTCGAAAAAACCCATAGGCCTAGTCGATTTTATTCTATTCGCCCTTTCTTTGACCCTTTCTTTTTCTTTTTCCTTTGGACCTCCCACTTGGCTTGTTGATTTCTTTTCCTTGTTAATCGACGGTGATTGAGCTTCTTTGCGATGGCTTGGAACTTGTGCTACTTGGTGGACTTCTTACAGGGGGATCGGCTGGAATCTTTGCTGCATGATCCTGACTTGGAATTGTAGGTTCACAGAGCCAGGCGAGAAATCTTCTTAGGAAGAGCGTGGCTAACACAACTAACAAGGTGTAGCCAATCACCAAGAATTTCAAAGGTCCTTCGTCGTCTGATCGATCTCCTTTATCTCTTCTTCCTTGTGTTCGAACCTTCGCGATGATGGCCATTAGAATTGCTAGTTGCATTTGGTTGGCATTGATTTGAAGTCCGGAGTGATTTTCTTCTTTTGGTATTTCTTTTATTTCCTTCTTTTCTTCTTTTGATTCTTTTCTTTGATCTTCTTCTTCTCTTGGTCTTATTGCCCCTAGACCATCCTCTTTTAGTCTTGCTGCCCCTGGGCAATCCTCCTTTGCTTCCTTCTTCTTTTCTTCCATCTTCTTTTGGATGGCCATAGATATAAGCTCCTTGAATTCTAGTATTCGTTGGATGGGAAGCGGCTTCGTGCCCAAATTAGCAATGATGATAGCACCAGGTAGATGCTTGACTCTCCAGTCGAGATTGGTGATTCTCCATCGGACATGTTGTGCGCGAAACCTCAAGTGGCGTGTTCGCCAGTTTGCATGCCCATCTGAGAAGAATCTTGTGGTAGTCAAGTTGTCGACAAACAGGGTCTTGACGTAGGGATCCTCATGTGCTTGGATCATGCTATCGACAACATCTCCTGTTTGCAGACCTTCAATTGCTTCCAAAAGCTCAGATTGTGCTGTCGACAAAGCCGGAAAAAATTGCTTCCCACTTTTCCAAAACATCAAAGCACCATTCCACAGGACTATGACGGCCCTATGCCCTGAGTTTCTGGTGTGGCTGCAAAGCTTGAATCCGTATAGATCTCCAAGGATCTAGGTCTACCATCCCAACCTTCTCTTCGTCCAGGACGGAACTCTAGACCTTCATTTGATGTATTTTATTACTTCCAGACCTGTGTGGCCTGTTCGGATGCCTAGGTGGGATGCGTCAAAATCTCCTGTGCACACCGATTAGTGGCAAATGAGACATCAGGCCTCGTGCTTGTTGAGAGCGACATCAATTCTCCCACCAGCGGTTGGTTCTTCTGGGTATGGTAGAATATTCTTTATCATTGGTATTTTCACATTTCGGCCTTCTGGGATACCCTCCTTGTCCAGGATATAGTCTTCTTGGGAAATTCGGAATCCACCTGGTGGTGCCTGAGTCAATTCCATGCCGAGGAATTTGATCTTCTTTTCATCCACCACTTCAGGTTCTGATGCCTCCCATTCATTTTGGAGCACTTGGATGATCATATTTGTAGTAATTGGATCACTGGCCACCATCAAATTATCGACGTATATCAGCAGGAATCCGACCAGCCATTCATCACGATCATCATCAATTCCTTGGCCCTTCATGATGCTCCACAAATTTGGTTCCGCATCGGCTTAGACAAGTTGGTGACCTTCTTTTGACCTCATCTTCCGAAGAACACTATCACGATATAGTCCCCAACACCGAGGCGACCGTCGCAAACCGTACATGGCCTTCTGCGCCAAATTCTCAATAGAATTCTTTGATTCCCACGTGGCCAGTCTTGATGAACAACGAGGGAGGTTTGAGCACCACTATTGTTGGATCTTATCCATCATCTTCTACATCGAGAGGTGCATTCAAGAATGCAATGCGAATGTCAAGGACCGTGGCTCCCCAGTTCTTTTCAATTGATCGCTTCAACACATAGCGCAAGCAAACGGCATCAACGCCTGAAACATAGAGGCATTGATCCTTTTGATCTGGTGTGGATTGATCCACAAAGTTCCCACAGGCGACCAGCCTGATCTTCCGTCGCGGTCCAGGCTTGAGGGTGATCACAATTTTGGATGGGAATATCTCCAAATGACGTCCCCATTTTTTATGAAGATCCTCAATTTCATCTTCGGTGATGCGCTTTAGTGCCTGCTTTTCTTCGAAGAGCTGATGCAATTCTTTCTTTATGGCTTCATACCACTTTGGTGCTTCATTGAGCAATTCCTTGGGAGATACGATCTTTGTGCGATGCACTAATTCTTCTTCCTTAGACATGGCGCTTTTGACCTTTTTGAATTCTTCGTAGACGACGTCCATGACCTTGACCTCATCTTTCAATATGATCACATTTTCTTCCAGGACCACATTTGAGAGACGTTCGAGGTGCCTTTTCCTTTCCTCTTCCATCTCCTCATATTCATCTTTCTTCATATTTTTTGCCGTGACCTTTCCTCGGATCCTCCTCCTGACCTCATGCGGGTCTTCCTCTTCATCCATGGCTTTAGTGATTGCCAGCCATGTCCATTGGCTTGGTTCAGGCTCCTTGGTCTTGGTGATGAAATAGGGTGTAATGGCAATTCGACCATCTTGTCGGAGTACGAGGTGTCCATGTGCATCTGGTCGCGGAGCCAAATACTTTACCACTTCATGTGTGCCTTCCAGCTCTTTTGTTTTCCAGAACCTTCTTTTGACCAGCAGCTCATGCCCAAGTGGCGGCACATCGTTGAGCTCCTTGTCGGCCATTCTTCGATGTTCACGTTCATGAACATAGTGACATGCTTGCGGCCATCGACTTGCAGGAAGACCAGCCATGCCCAGAAGAC